CTATATGGAATGACTGGGATTGCATGTGTTAAATAGGTGAGTGCATTCACAAATGGCTAGACACATAATTGATCATTTGTACATGCAATTACTTGACATGTGTATGCAATCAGATTAATTGCACCCAGAAATTATAAATTCAAATGTGCCTGCATTTCTTGGCATGCAAGTGTGTAATTAAGTTTCTGTAAATAAGTTTAAGAAATATAAATCATAATTGATTTTCTTCAGCTTTAACTGCAACAACAATCAACTGTAGTGGGAGCTGTGCATCTTTTGGAAGGTACTCAGTGCCCCTCAAGATCAGGACTTAATCTACAATATCAAACCTTGGGCAAAATCCTGCCGCCATTGAAGTCAACTGGAGTTTTTAAACTGACTTTAGCAAGGCCAGGATTTCACGCCTTCTTTCTGCTGGTACATAGCAAAAGTAGCATATAACATACATATTATAACTGCTGTTGAATAACCTCCATATGGCCATAGACAGATGCCAAACATCTATAATGATACCAATAGATCTTCAGTTCTGGAGCCTTACAGTTCCATCCATCTGAGAAAAACAAGTGTCTACTTTAAAAGATCTCAGCATGATTCATTGGCATTCACCCTGCATGCCAGACAGGAAGGGACAGATTTTTAAAGGTAGTTGCATCTTTAGCCACATAAATACCTTTAAAAAATTAGCTCGAAATTCCCTATTGACCAGTTAGAATTTAAGGCTTTAGAACTATAGAAGGGATCTCACTGCAGCAACTAATTTTACAAAACACAGTAGATACGCTCATTTGTACTCTCTTACATGTAATTATTAGCTAGGGTGTGAGAAAACTCAACTGCTTTGACTCTTCTGATAATTAATTTCATTTCTGAATAGTGTGGCATGTAAACTGAAACAGTTCTCAATTGTGTGCATTTTACCTACCTGAGGTACCCACTTTGATGAAACAAAACTGGTTGCTTCTATTACAGACAAGCCTGCTTTGGAAAGTCGGTTGATTAACTCAATTTTGATATCTGTGGGAACTGTAACCTATGGATATGGAAGCATTTCATTGTAAAATATCTGTCATACAATAAGTACCTTTTGCAAATAAAATGCCCACAGTACAAAATAAGCATTCACACTTTGTTTAAAGTAGTTAACCATGACCACATACTCTTCCCCTTATGTGCAGGCAGTGGGTAGCAAACACACAATGGCCCAGGAAGCAGTGGGCATGCACCCACTCCATTCTCCACCCCTTCCCTGGAGTCTGAAGAAGCCGTTCCATGAGAATGCCGTACACAGATGGCTTCACAAGAGATGGCAGAGGTGGGGATAAAGCATCCCACAGATGAGTGGGGACCCAGGAAGCAATCACTGTATACAGCCTGGTCCACTGGGAGGAAGAATGCCAAAAATACCTACAGTAATTAATTTTCCCATTGTCATATTAAGGCTCCAGCCACGGTGAGGTACATGAATCTGCCTTGCTGCCTATTTAAAGGGGTGTTTTATTCTGGGATATGGTTGGGAACCATGGCGTTGGGGACCAATTTTACATGGCCCAGCTTTATTCCCACTATATTAGGCCATCATCCAGTTCCCATCCCAGCCATCAGGTGGAAGATAGGGTAGAAACAGAAATCTTGCACAATTTATGGCAATTTATTTTTCTTCTCCCATCGGCCACTCCTCAAGAAGGATGATAGAACCTTAATTTATTAATGTAGCATTTAAGGTGCTGATCAGGGATCAGTGCCACAGAGTGCTAGGCATTTCCTGCACCAAAGAGTTTTCAATCTAGGTTATGACATCATAAAGCTGATGGACACAACAAATGGGAGGAGTAGAGATGGAGGATGGTGCAATAGTAAAGCAAGCATATCTCAACACAACAAAACAGTCATGTCTTGCTATTTATTTTAAATATCCAATTTAAAAACCAATTAATTAGGTAAAAAAGGATTAAAAATTATGATATGTAAACTGTACATAATGATAAGCATACACATGAAACTATGCAAAAATGGATGGTGACAGAAATTACCTTTTCATTTTGTAATCCGTCTCTTGGCCCAACTTCTACAATTTTAACATAGTCAGGAAATCCAGATATTTGAAATTCCTGAAACACAAGATGATAGATTCAATATTAAATAAAAATACATGTTTAACATATTATCAGCTTTATCATTGCTTCTTGTAAACCCAGATATGAAGTCATTTTATCAACAGCAAAGGAAACATGCCTGCAGAATGCCTTTAAAAAAATTCTGTGGGGCCACATGTTGCACACCTTGGATGGGGGAAGATGTGAAGGAGCAGAGTTTATTTGCATGAATTTTCCATTTTTCTATCAGGGTCATAAATTATTATTAATTATTATTATTATTATTATTAAACAGAATGTATTTATTTAAATGAACATTGTACTTTATGGCACAAGACATATTTCCTATGTCAAAAAACTTACAAACTAAGGGCCCAATCCTGCAAACATTTCTGTATGTGAGTCCAACTGAATAACGTGTGTAAATGTTTGCAAGATTGAGCCATACATCAGACAAGACTGAGGCACACAAATCAAGGGGAGGTGGGGTAAAGAGATTATTAATGATGACATAGAAGGAGGACATGCTGGAAGAGGTAGACTTTCAATAGGATTTAAAAGAGAATAGGAAAGGTACTTGCCAGACAAGAAGAAAAAGTTTACAGGTGTAAGAGCAGATTAAAAAGGTGGGAAGCTGAGGTGGGAAGAGGAGAGGAAGGCAGCAATACGGTCAAAAGACTAAGGAAAGTATAAGGAGTAGAATGGGGAGTAAAGAGAATGTGGGGCACAAAAGCAGATGGAGGGAAATGAAATTTCCCTTGTTTGTTATTTGGCTGGTCTGATATTGAATCAACTGGAAAGGTGAGGGGCTATTGCCACTCCCTCCATGACCTCCCATGACCGCTAAGTTCCACTAAACTAGAACAATGAAACTGTGGACCAATAGGGGAAGTCTCATGAATACAGGAGACACGGCTTTCACAGAAACCAGATCTAGACTTGAGAAGTCACTTTTGCAAAGAATAAAAAACCCTAACTTCACAGCATTCAGTACTAAACATAAAACCCATCTTTCAACCCAGTCTTATTTGCATTGTCACTGCAGTTTCAACCTAGGGGCTGGAGAACTTCTATTTTCCAGTGAAGTATTGGAAAGTGACACAGAAATATACCTTTATAGCATCATCATATTGTCTCCCACTGATGTCAGTGGATACTGTGTGCATATGTGGCCCACAGATTATATTAAATTCACTGTAGTAATATGCACAATCATACTGAGAGTACAATAAAAAATCAATGCAGTTAGTGTACATTTATCTGAGCACTGTAAAAAAAGAAATAGAAAAAAGCTGTATAGCATCTATGAGATCACATTCAACATCTGGTGAGCTAAAACTTTGTTGGCCCATTCTGAGCTCACACTCACTGAGAATATAAACCTATTTAAATATGAAGGTAAAACTTTCACATCTGCTGCATATTGTTTTTCTTTTTTAAAAAAAAGTTCTTTTCACAAATATGGCAAGACTTCAGCAAAAAGGGCATATATCTGGGTATTTTCATGATTATCAGGTAATTGTTGTTACATGACAAATGCCACAGCTGAGCTATGAATAAAACTGTGACTATAGCTGAAAATAAGAGCTAAAATGAATTAAATGAACTGAACCTTATATTTCGTGCATGAACATTTTTCATAAAACTTTGCTTGCCATATTTTTTTCATTCTATGGGCCAAATCCTGTAAATCCATATTCAGTTCTTATTATGGCAAGACTTCCACGGAAATCAATGGGCCAAATCCTCAGACCAGTTTAAATAGCCCCACACTACTTTGTACTGGGCACTGGGTCAACCATTTCAGAGGATGATGGGAGGGTGGAGAGGACAACAGTTCTGTGGTGGCCGTTTTAAGGCAGCAACCAAGCAGTGGTGCATAGGGGATACAGTAGTATAAATGGATCCAAGCAGACAAGAGGGAGACAAAGAAGCAGCTGTCTGGCCAGCATGTATTTAACAGCTGTGAAAAGAAAGGGTTGCCACACAGTGGAAGAGCTGTAGCCTTTCAAACTAAATAACCATTTTGAATATTATGAAGGACCTTTGGGTCTATGAATACTCATTGGGTAGATAGGACACTGGATAGTTAAGTTTAGTGAAGGAGGAAAAGAGGAGATCTACTTCTGTTTGGGGACAGCGAATACATGCAAGGATCAGAACCTAAGAGCATATGCTGACCCTTTTCGTCCCTTCCTCCCACTGGGGCTTAGGAGTTACTGCAAGTGCATGGCTTCCATGGGAACATATGTCCAACTTTGTTTCACAACTTTACCTGTAAATTTATGGGAAACAAATCTGTTCAATTCAACCTCCACTTTCCCAGTCACAGGGAACCATACGAAGCAGAAGTTATTCAACGCAGCTCTGATACTGCACATTAAAAAATGTAAGATTCGAAGAAGACACGTAAAGTTCCCCAGCAGTCAATCCACATAATATAAAAAAATCACCGCAAAATAGAAACAAAAAATGAAATCACACTGTACATTCTAACAGGGTAAAAGAACGAGGAAGAGTTTTATAAAACTATACAATCATTTATGTTATACATATCATTAAATATGTAAATGATTTTGTTTCAAGAGCAAATGTTGACCTAATCATTTTATATGAAATACTTCTATGGAATCAAATGCAACAAAATATAAGTAGCTATTATAGATATTGAGTAGCTACTATTTATTGAACTATGTATTGGCTATATTAAATAGTAACAACTACTCAAAGTACATTGTTTGGAATATCAAAAAGGAAATGGTTGACATAAAAGATTAAAAGCCTGGAAAATTTGTTTCCCTTTCCCCATGTATAACGCTTTGCCGAGAGAACAAAATGCATATAAAACCACTAAAAAAATGTTTGCCTTCTTCAAAACACAAAGCAGCCAAAGATTTCCCCTCACCCCCAAATTTTAGAAAAAGAGAAAAGGACTGACTACCCATCCTGGGACACTGTATGCCAAATTTCAGCATAGAAACATTTTTCTCCGAATTATAAATAGTTGAGAATAGAGGTTTAAACTAAGCCTTAAACATAGCATTATAATCCTCTTAAAATAACCATAATTGTAAACAAATCAAATAATAAACCTTCAAATTAAATAAACAGCTCCAGAGCCGCCACAGAATTTCCTGACGTGAGTATTGGTTTCTATGGACTTCAGCAGCAAGTATATCATTCTGCTGATTATCTGAATGTCACCCGCTGCTCAGCCAGTATCCCTGGCCTTCTGCTGCCTGTGTGGCACAGAAAATCATACAAACCTGTTGCTGATTTAGGCCTTTAGAGCTTTATTTAGCCAACTAAATTGGTAAGGAGGAACACATTCCAGCTACACATTAGCAATAAATTCCAGTTGCATATGTTTTATATTTCCAGGCAGTTGTCTTGTGCAATCACAGGCTTCAACTTTGCCATTTAGTCACAGAGCTGCATTGGGGTGTGACGTGAAGCCACTACACTCCAGAAAGAGCACTAGGAACCATCTTGCAGCTTCCAATTGCAATTTTGCCTGACTCTTAAGTGGACTGCACAAGAAGGGTTTGAGGCTCCTTAACTCCGTCCATTCCCATTGTACCACAAGAGCCAGGCAGATTCCAGCTGTTAGATATTTAGTTGTGGCAGGTTGTGAAATTATGGTCCCCAGTATACGTCCCCTAATTCTATGTCCCTCCAGGGTCATTTACTCATCCCTCACTTCTCTCTAAAACTTCAAAGCAGTCTCCGGAGAATGAAGCTTCAAGATTCTTAATAAAGTTAATTCAAGTGTTCAAACTCTATTAAGGTCCTGTTGGAAAATCCCAGTTGAGTTGCCTAAAAGCAAGAGCCTATCTAGCTAACACTGTAGTTATTCAAGACTAGATTGGTAAATTTGACACTGGGGACTGTAAATTTATACATTTTCTGCATCTATTTATATCAATATATCAGTTCTATACCAATTTATATCTAGCTACATTCAAAATTTTCTATATGTCATCACTAAATATCAGGGCAACCCAACATATCCTTCTAACGAGTGGCAAAAGCAGAGTTATATGGTACCCCCTCAATTCCTTTTTTAATTAAAGGAGCTTGCTTTCTTCACAGGCCACAAAATGTGACTCCGATACAAACAAACCACAACAAGGCCACCTAAACAAATATTGCTGACGTTGTTTGATACTGAGCAGCCCAGAAAAATGTAAGGTTATGATTATGGAGGGTAAATAGTTGACTAATGAGCTAATGAAGTTGACACAAATAAGCCTATATTTATTACTTTTGTCCAGATTTCTTATTGATTTCCTATTGTCCTATTGAAAATGGTTAGAAGTTTTACATTAATATTTATGTATCAAGAGCTTGTGTGAGCTCATGAAAATGTATTAAATTAGATATTTCAGGGCATTATTGGAAGAAATGAAGTGTATTCAACTCTTCACATACTGGATATTTGCTAAGGGGATTTCCAGCAGTACTGAAAAGTTCTAAGACTTCCATAGTCATTTCCATTCATCACTCAACTATAACTTCATACATGACAACAATTACTAGACTGCAGCAAGACAGTTTAAAACAAAAAGATAAACCAGATCAAACATGATATCATTAAATGGCTAATTCATTCAAGAGATTCACAATTGTAACCTCAAAATGTAAAATACCAATGCTGGGTTAACATCCTAAAAGACACTGGTTAGTTGATTTAGTTATATTCATATATACAGAGTAGGGCTTCAACAAAGTCAACACAAGCAAGTTAAAAACACAAATGATAATGTATAAATAATCAGGAAGATTGACAATTTAGATTTAAAAGCTACAATTGAATCTGCTAATTGAAAACCCAGAGGATACAATTCCATTACAAAGCCTTCAATGGGCAAAAGTCTGACATGCTGAGAGACCAAATGGCAGAGATTGGCAAAGTGACTGCAAGTCAGAGGTTTAATGCACTGGAGCGCTTATGAGAATCAGTTCTTAATGATAATATGATGCTGAAGAGTTAAGAACCTTAATAATCTGGATCA